GGGATTCAGAGTCTGCCCCTAGAACAAGCAGCTTCATTCACTCCACAAATAAGAACCTGAATCCTGGACGAGGGCCCACTCCCTCAGGCCATGAGAACTCCACGTGACTACCTTCCAGAGGCAGCGCATGGGTGCACATGTGCACACACGACACAGATGCAGACACGTACAGACACATAGGGGCTCATGCGGACCCGGTGGCCACACCAGGACCCCCAGCCCACAACTTTCCACACAGACAATCCAGGGTCAGGCCCTGCACCTGATACCCCAGACCTACAGAACACAGGGGAGGCTGCAGCTGCCTCTCACTCGGCCCTGGGCACCAACCCTCAAGAGGAAAGGAGAGGAAGTGGAGGACTCGTTGGCAGGGGAAGCCTACCTCCTCCCTGGAGGCGTGCCCTCTCCCCCCAGGACCCCAGGGCTGCCAAGATGTGGCCTGGCCCTAGCTTGCCCCTCCCACTCTGGCTGCCCCTCCAAAGGGAGCAGACAAACAGTCTGCGCCACTCAGAGGCTCCAGGATCCAGGCCGGAGGCCCCACGGAGGGCCCTGGGGAAGGGGGTACCAGAGCCAGGGGTCTCTCTCCATCCCGGGCAGAACTCATCTGTGTCACAAGGAGACTGACACTAAAGGCCTAGAAACTGCTCGTCTGTAGGGGCTGCCTGAGCTCCCAGCGCACCCCGAAGGAGCCTCCTGGGCTCAGCAGCCCCAGCCTCCCAGCAGGAAGCTCCTCACACCCACCTGGCTCTCTCGGCCAGCTGTGAGGGGCCCCCTCCAGCCCAGCTCAGGGAAGGACCGGAGGCTCTGTCCAGGTAGCGTGCCCTAGTCTCTGTGCCCACCTCCTGATACTCCAGGTCTAATCCCAAGGCTGGACAAAGGGAAGAGGGAGGTGCCTGCCCCCAATCCAGGACCCAGTCCCCCAGCCCTGTTCCCTGCCTGGACCCTACCTCAGAGTTCGGGCAGCTCCGGCCAGCAGCCCTGTGCCCCTTGCCCGCCTGTTTGCCGAGTGAAGCTACAGCCAGTCCCCCAGGACAGCTCAGGGGCCGGCATGGGCTGTACCAAGTGCAGCTGCAAACAGGGGAGACCCTGGGATGGCTGAGCAGGGGGCTGGAGGAGTTCAGGGAAGCCCAGGAATCAAGGGCAAGAACATCAGAGTTGGGAGACAGAGGAGCTCCAGAACTGAGAGGCCTTCACCTCCACAGTGCCAGACAGGGCCGGCCAAATGAGGGGCTCCCCAGGGTATGCTGACATGGGCAGGGCAGGCTGGCAGGGAGGGGCCAAGCCTCCTTAAAATCCACTGCCCTAGGGGACAGCGACTGGGCAGGGCCTGGCTGGCCAAAGGGTAGGAGGGGAGAAGGAGGGAGCAGCCCTTCTCATCTCCATACCCAGCAACCCCAGGCCAATTTGCCCTGCCAGGGGCCTTGTTGCTCACCACTGTCCTCTGGGCCCTGACTCTGGGGTCCCCAGGGAGAGACATGGCCTTAGCTGGGGAGAGAAGCTGACTGGCAGCTGGGGAGGTGGCTCAGTCCAGGTAGGGGCTAGTTACTGAGGCTTCCAAGCTGCCAGCTGCTCAGGGGGCTGGTTCATCCCTCCTC